TACTCGAAGAAAGACAATTTAAAGCATTGAAGGTTTATGTGCGATTTCCCACATAAGTTTGAGTGAGTTGGATGGTTCTTATATTTTGGAGATTAGGTATAAGTGTGTCAAAGTATATCATATTCAGGAAGAATTAAAACATCCAAATAAAACATTCAAAGGGAGGAATACTTTCAAAGGAATATGCAAGATAAACGCACCGCACCACTCAAGAACAAATCAAAATGAAAAAATAAAGTGTGGCTGGTTAATTTCATAATCAGCTGTAACTTTGCAGAAATCAGCTGATCCAATGCTTCCACCCGTTTGCAGACATTGAGAATAGGCTGGCAACACTGTTGCATTCAATGAGCTGAACTTTAATTAATAACTTCATAGCCTCGCTTGACGAATTAATCAGTTCACTTTTAATGATTCCGGACTACTTGAATATTATTCATTTTGAATCCTTAGTTGCCATTAACGCAGGACAATTTCATCAATTGTAGAAATCTGACGACACCAACATTATGTTCCTCATTCTTTGGAGAACTTCTTTCTTCACAGCTACCAATAGTAATGCAGGAAATCATAGGTCTTAATCAACCATATCTCTCAAGATATTGATTTCAAACTTACAGAGGTGTAGAGACCAATGGAAGCTATTCGATGATCTCTATTGAGTTCGGTTCAGAATCAGTTCAAAAAACTGTTTTGTAACGTTGTGCAATTCTTGACCGATATGGCAAACTAGAATTAAATTTTCTAGCAGTTACAAGCACTGCTCCGAAAGTTTTCTCATATTGTTTTTCCCCATCTTCAATTGTTCTCCGTCACATTCGGAACATTGTATCAATAAGAGTATTCGAATGCTGTCTTCAATGATTGTGTTTTTGAATATGCCACTGCATTGTAACAATCCATCCAATAACAGTTCTTTATTAAAGCCAATTTAAAGTGATATGAAAGTAAAATTAACAGATAAACTTTTCGAAAGAAACACCACACTAGTGAAAGAATTGACCCATTGTTACATATCAAAACATAAAGTTTGCCTTATAAATAAATTAACAATTTGATGACCATAACATTTGAAAGCAAAATCACAATTGGACACTGACAGGAGTGAACTCGATCGTTCCGCACAAAAATTTCGCTCACACAACAAAACTAAATGAATAGAGAGTATTTTCTCGGAATGTCAATAACCGGCAGATTCCATAAATGATACAAATTTCATCACTTCGAAGCATCAGTCAAATCATCTCTCTTATCATTGCTAGGTGAATCGCTCAACTCTGTAATATCTTCGTTCGTTGCCGAATCTTTTGGCACCTCCACTTCGGATTCGCCATCCTTGTCACTCGGCTGACCATGACCATGATCTTCGTGTTGATCCTGGTCTACAGTCTCGATTCGTTCAGCTGGCTGCTCATCTTTTGGTTCAGGTGATGGTGATTTCATTATCTGATCTGACTGATTCAGATCTTCATCTGGTGATTCAGTGGGATTCTGTGATGGAATATCTTCATCAGGATAACTAGTATTCAACACTTTCTCATTGACATCATCAGTTCGCTGATCAGTCGTCTTGTTGTCCTCATCTAATGCCACAATATTCTCCTCACTAATATCTTGATTGCTGTTTTGCTCATTTCCGTCAACCTTATCAAACTCCGCATCACTGCTCTCAACAACATCCAAATGTTCGTTTTCACTCATCTTTGCACTCAACTTTTCCGGAATATCCGTCACAGCGAACCTTAATTACAAAACTGACCATTAATTGAACAGAGAGACTTAAAAAAACAACTGAATGAGGGAAGCAAGTGAGCATTAAATTACGCCTCAGCTCGGACTTAAATATGAGGCTGATTCTGAAAACCGTAATGTTACTGAAGAAAAAAAAACATCCAAAATAAGCACGACGAACAAATACCGTTGACGTCTTGCCACCTCATCATAGGGTGGCGCTCCGTAAGTGCAAATCAACGGCCATATGCATGCATCCCAATTCTTATCCCACGATATCAACGGATCTGATTCTAAATTGCTCGCCAGTGTACGCAGCTGCTGAAGAAATAATACTTCAAAGCAGATCAATGATATAATATCAAACAACATCGATTGCGTTTCGAAACGATACAATGAAATTGAGTCAATTGACAACAAATTCGTAGAAACCAAATCAAATTTCTTGTTTAAATGGCTATATTCAAAGAAACTGAATGCAATAAAAACGCTAATCAATGGAAATTTCAGTTATGAATGTTAGGAAAGATTCGCGAAACGAACCGTTGAGTAGTTAGGAAATCCGCACGAAAGTGATTTGATANTATCGAACAGTCTACCGTTATGACCGTCGTTCACCAATTCGTTGATGCACGCGAATCGTTTCGCGATCACCGGCAGTCCACAACCAAACATATCCACCACTTTCATCGGTAAATCCAATCCTTAAAATTTCAACTTCCTCAGCGAAATAATATGAGAACAACTATATTTCACATGAAAAATTCGCATTGATGACCGCAATCGCAATACAAATACAATGTCAAATGAATCTACAATCTCTTCAATCGATCTCAAACAATGAATTATTATTAATCAAACGAATTCAAATTTGAAGGCTTATTACCAGATGTGGACGTATGTAACGAAACACCAATATCCGCAGCACCCAAGAGACGTGGATAATCTTCAGATTCCAACCATGGCGTTAGAATTTCAACTTGCTGCATTTGTAGGTGTTCAATTTTTGCCATATAATGTGAACGCAATGGACCACGTCCAGTTATAACGCACAGCAAATGCGGAAGGCGTGTTTGAGGATTCCTAAAAGCAACGATCCAGTTGAACATTCAACAGAACAATACCGTCAAAGAGAACATTCGATGCGTTGAAACTTGATGAATTCTAATGGCGCTAGACATTAAACATATTCCTGTTAAGATTCATTAGAAGCGATACAAAATAATGATAAGATACGTTATAAAACAATCGAAAACAAACAAAACAACGAACGATTNAATCGCTTAACGAATCAATACGATGGAAAATTTGTTTCAACAAACTCCGATAATAGAATGAAGTAAGTTGAAGAAAATAAATCAAGTGACTTATGATGAATGATCAAATGCAAGCAATATACACCTTCAGTGATATCCTCGTCGGCAAGTGCCCCTTTCGAATCCTCCCATGCAAACGATTTGAATTCACCACCGAACTGGGCCAGTTTCAGAAAGAGTTGATGTATTTGTTCATCATTCAACTTCTTAAAATTCCAGTCGGGCGGTTTGTCGTAAAGTGTTGCCGACTGTACACCCCATGCATCACGCATATCTTCACGCATCGCATGTGTCACACAAATATTCAAATCTGCATGACGACCAAAATATCCTTCCCAATAGTACGTCCTTTCTACGAATCTGTAACTTATAATAGATCACTAATCTCAATTCCACCGACGATATGAATCCAAACGCGATGATTATATCATTCAATCACAGTATGAAATTTGAGTGATCGATTGCAATAAAACGTTTCATAGTATCACTAAACTATTGGCAGATTTGGGCCTCATTCAACTGTACTGAGCAAAGTCAACTAAAGAAAATTTTCACCTTTGTAACATCGAAATTTTCTTTTTCTTATCAATATTTCGTTTCTTCTTATTCGCATTCGCGTTAGCCACTTGTACGGCACGTTCACCCTTTGTCATACGTCTCAATCGAACATCTCCACTGCCAGCTGCAGCATTGGAACCTGAGATCGCTCCTGAATCGAACGCTTTTTTCCGCATTCATTTTCACTATTATTGCATTGAGAGGAGGTGCACAGACTGTTAGATGAAGTTAAGCAAATGTTTGCAACGTCACTGAATTCGATTCGAAGTTGAAGCCGCTATACTGCCAACTATTTAAAAATAAGTTTGTGACAGTCATTATTTCAGGACCTTTTTCCAAAAATAATTACTTCTCAAATCAATCACACCCCGAACCTGAATTTGTATCATCCGACGGAGTGATGGCTCCTCGTGCCATTACGGCAGCAACTCGTGTCGTCCGTAATCCCTCCAGGCCGTATTTTTCTCGAAGTATCGAATACGTATAGTTGTGCCAGTCGATTACGAACTGTGCACGACGAACACGCGCTGCCTTCAAGCAGAAAATGTCCAACTTCAGATTGGAATCGCAAAGAATTTAGCAAACAATTTCTCACGTTTGAATGGGCGATTGAAGCAAGTGAAAAATTCAGTATCACAGGCATCATTTCCGACAAAATATGAAACCAAATGAACAAATCAATCAAATAATAATTGGCCCTGCTTCACTACTAAGTGATCAATGCTTACAATAGTAATGTTGCATTCAAAAATTTCTTGCGCAGCAAAAATACAAATCAACGAAAACAACCCACAATNAACCCACAATCCAGCACGCCAACATGCACGGAACACCGGGTGGATTTTGCATCAAGATAAGAAGTGGCCAATCGATACGGAAAAACAGTGCAAACAGAAGTGTGGCCAACGTCCAGAAGAACTTCAAAAAAAGACCGAACGCGGGCCGTAGATTATTGAGGGATGCTGGTGGAGGTCGTAGCGCAATTATACTGAAAATACTCCATTCATATCATCTACTTATACAACTTGAATTTCTCGCCCGATATAATAGTCATCTCTGTTCAACAATCAAACGTTTAAAAAATACTAATGGAATGTGGAAAATGAATTCTATAAACGAGAAAAGTTCACAAAAAACAAAGAATTTCGATAAAATTTGAATGCAAAACCAACGAACCGAATGTTGGGATGTTCACTAATTGTTGGATGTGGTAAATGATCAGCATAACCAACAATTTGCACACGATAGTTTTTATCAGCAAGCGATTTTGCATGATAGCACATTCGAGGACTTCGGCCGATATCACCCAACACCACTAATGTGGCGTTCTTATTACGAATAACCATCTCCTCTACACGCTGTCACTCAAATAACAACAGCAATAAACGATTTCTTAAAAAAAAGAACGCAATATAAACTCCTCAAAAAATCCAATTAAAATGAATAAATTGAATCTGTTTATCATATCCTCTATCAGTCATCATATAAATAATCATAAAATGATTGTTAGAAAACGTATGATACAAAGCAACAATGATTACTCGAATATTGGCGATTATAATATATTATCAACTCGTACTAAACTCAGAATTACTATCAAAATCATCGTCATAACAAAACTGAAAAATTTACCTCAACCCCCAACAATTCCAGAAATTCTCAATGTCCACTTCTCGAATCACCCGAAGCACTTTCTTTTTCTGTCTTCGGTGCTCNCAATTCCAGAAATTCTCAATGTCCACTTCTCGAATCACCCGAAGCACTTTCTTTTTCTGTCTTCGGTGCTCTTCCTAACTGCTCTATAAATTCATAACATCAAATAATATTCATCATTAAATGAATAAGATTTAAAACTTGAAAAAAACTGAAAACTTCTTAACAATCCAAGAGATTATTTGTATTGACAACTAGAAGTTTATTCACTTCATAGAGCAAAATTGTGATTGTGATAAAATTTGCTCATTGTCAATTATAATACAAAGTGACTAAAATCGCTCGAATCTAACACTGAAATACGCCATATACCAGCCTAATTCATTCTGCAAACGGTTTGCACTTTATAATCTAACAGAATGACGTATACGAGAAACGACAGCACTAGTGAGCCTACTGAGTGGCCAGTGTACTTGTCGTATGTCATTACTTCAGCTTTCGCAAACGAAAACGTTGTTCATGCAAAATCATACTCTGCAGAATACTTAGAATACTTAGATTAATCAATATCTCACA